GATGCTTTTCAGCCTTTGTAGGTTTTTTAACATTTTTAAATAATGGTGCTTATGCTACAGTACAGAGTAAAACATACATAATCTATTATAAATTACTCCAAAATTAAACAAGAAATTTTCTTTTCTTTGTAAGAGATCTGAAATGTGTGCTGGGCTCTCAATGTGTGTGGCCTCCAAACAGAAACAAGCTTGCACTGTTTTATTTCAGTTTTGCTTCATTTCTTCCCAAACAATCTCTCACTGCTAATCTACCAGGCCCTTTTTTTTAAGCATGAAGGAAAAAAAAAAAAAATCAAAGACATTATTAACTCCTTATGCACAATCATAAAAGCTGAGTATATATTGTTTGGCATCAATTTGCATGGATTTATTTTTCATTATTTATTAATGGGGCATAATCGGGGAGTATATTATTTCCATAAATAATTCTTGAAAATAACATTGAAATGCTACATTTTAAATTTATATAGTAAATCCAGTACGCTTTTTTTTTTAAAGCTATAAACAACAAGCTTTAATTTCAGGTAAACATCTCATGCTGAAGTTTTTTCTAAAGTAAAACTCAGCCTATAATATCAACTTAAAGTAGTAAAATGGAAAGATAAATTTTATTTATGTTTTACTCTAAGATATCTGAGAATCAAGAAAATGATACTAAAATCTTAATATTACAAAGAACAGTATAACTACATATAAAAGAATATGTAATAAATAAATAAATAAATAAATAAAAAATCTTATAATGTGACATATATTTACTCATATGAGTAATGGTTATGTGTTGCATCATTAGAAAGAATTTAGGAGGGCTCTTATGCATCTAAAATACTCCTAGGATTTGAGAAGTGTGGAATATATGCTAATAGAAGCAATCAGTTTTGCTTAGTTGAATAAATTATATTTGCACACATTTCAAAAATAAAATAAAATAAAATCTTTAAATGTTAAATCAACATCACTTTATTCAAAGTAATAAGTAATCCTTGTTTTACCTATATGCAGTCTCATTCATTAGTAGAGGGAAAGAGTGGATAAATCATCTGATAAAGGTGACCTTGGTTTTTAATGGCAACATGTATGGCAACACCGTTTCCGAAAATTATAACTAATGTATTAAAACTACTACTGCTAAAATATATACTGTCTAAGGTTGGTATAGAATTAATCAACCTTGAGGTTGGCTAGAATCAAACATATCCATTCATGTTCCCAAAGAAGGCTGCAGAGCGATCTCCCTTACTTGTGAACTATAAAGAATATTAAAATAAACTTTCTCCACAACTGTCCCAGAAAAAAACTGATTAAACTCCAAGTTTCTGTTGGTGTGTGAATAGACGCAAAATATTAAGTTAATTATAAAAAAGCAGGTAAGTATGATTATACACATTAATGGTTATAACGTCATAACGATGTACCAATGTCTTTACTCCCGATGTTCCACTCCCCACCAAAATGAGAGAGAGAGAGAGAGGGAGAGAGAGAAACCAGTTTTACTATATCATGACCAGGAGAGTACCTGGTGTCATTATTGTGATTCGTCAGTGCTCTGTGTATGAATCAGCAATATTATACAACAGTAACAAGGGTTACAAATAGTAAATGAGAAGTCAGTGTAGCTCCACATGGGTTTAGACAACTCTGAGGGGAACTGGCTACAATTCCATGAGGTACTAGTGACCAGCTGCCATGTGTCTGGCATTGTGCTAGGCACTCAGTAGCAAACTGCAATTCAGGAAGTTAATAGTCCATTAAGGACCTGTGGTTCGCATCATTGTTATCATGACAAAATTAAGAAACCATTGTGGCCAGTGGCCCCTAAGGTCCTATTTTGCAGTGGTGGGTTTGCAGTCAATAAGACCAATGCCTCTGGGAAGCAGGCTGTGCTAATTATGAAGTTCATCCTCGGCAAAAAAAAAAAAAAAGGCATCAGAGATGATCCAGGGGTTGGAGGGGCACGTGCCCCTGAGCAAATGCCACAAGAATTTTTAAGTCTCTTCTTGAAAAGGCAAACTTTCTTCCCTTAGGCTTTCATTCATTGATACACAGATAAGACTGATGGATTGTTGCCCTGCTAGTAATAATTGTTGTGGGGAGGAGAGGCATGGAGGGAGGGATGTCATTTAGCAATACGCAATGATAATTCAAAACATTCTGGAAGGCTAAACAGCAAAATCACTTGTCAAATTTTCACTAACCAAATCTCAGCTTTCTGCAGGAATGACAGAGTAGGAGTGTGGCTGTGTGGGAGAAGAGATGGAAACATGGACCGAAGACAAAGGATAGGTGAAGAAAAGGCAGATAAATTGCCAAAATAAATTTAACAGAAGTGAAGATGGTGAGATTATAAAAATCGTGTATCAATAATCTCCCCGGAGAACAATCTGGCAAAATTAAGATCACCAAATAACACTTCTTAGGCAATGTAGGACCATGTCGTCACATTTTCGTTTTTCTTGTCGTCCAATGGTTGCTGTTTTCCTAAGCAGGAGGCAAATTAATATAAGATCTCCTATGTTGCATCTCTACATATTTCCATTTTCTGCAGCCCAGCACAGGTCAACTTGGGTGCCATGCAAAATGTGGCTCCATAGATGCTGGGAGAATGTCAATTCACAGCCTACCAAAGCCCACATTTGCAATTTATCAAAGGATTTCAGCAACTATTGAAAAATGCACTGAATTTAATTTTAGTGATGTAACTGGTGATACACCTTTCTTCTAAAGTCTTTCAGATGCAGTTTCTGATCTTAATCACAGTAAATCTCTAGGAGGGGGTCAAACCCAGGTGGCAGAGCCCTTCTGAGTCAAGAGGATGGGAGGTACTTACTGCAGACCCTTATGATGCTTTATCTCATTTCAAGGCTCAGGAACCTGCTATACTCTCACCGATAAAAATACAGGCGTCAGTGAATCTTCTGTTAGTTAGGCTGGAGTGAGTGAGTGGTATCATCAACTCAGCATTCAAATTATTTATTAAGAACCTATAATGTACCCAGAACTGAGTACAACACTATAAATTTCCTGTGTTTTTATCTTTACATATTTTATTTAATCCATACGACTCCTGGGTTATACAACTAACTAACCCATGCAGTCACAAAATTAGGAAAAGACAACCCTCGGTCTCGGCATATATACATACATTTTACCTTTCGTGTCTTATTCTGTAGCATGATAGTAGATTGCTAGTTATACATATTTAAATCAATATAACATGAAGAGAACAGTTTATTTAAAATATAAATATCTTCTCAGTTCCAAGTTTATTTTTGTCACAGATTTGGGATAAATACACTTTACTTATGTATTATTTTAAACTTTTGTATCTATTTGTTGCATCACACCAAAAATACTGAAAACCTTTTTACTATTTTTCTCACATTGCTTGTAGTAATTCTGAAGTACTCATACAAATACGAAGGTGTCACCTATTACACGTTTTAAATATGATCAATAATATCACCATTTAAAATTACATAGAAAATGATGTCTTCAATGATTTTGACAGCAGACTTAGCAAACCAGCAGGCACACTGGGAACATAACATAGTGTGGGTTACACATATCAACCCCTGTGCTCTTTCTGGGTGTAAGAACAATACACACAGCAAGCTAGCAATTCATGAAGCCAATTAGGAAATATGGACTCAATATTAAACTTTGTATATTACATTCATATTGTAATGTTAAGGCGAAATTTCCTCTTTTGGTTGCTCAGTGTGCCTGATGGCATAAAATAAAGGGTACAAGCAATCAGGATATAACTAAAATTATAGTAACAATTATAACTAGAAGTAGATTCTTAAATTCCAGCGAGAATTTCAAAACTTCTTTTTTGAAATGAAAGAGCCAGAAATATTATTTAAGCAGGATAAGTATTAGGGTAAGTAGGAAAATGGAGATAACTATTTTTTTTTTTTAGAGAATCTTTTTTTTTTAAGATTTTATTTATTTATTTTAGAGAGAGAGAATGAGAAAGAGCATGAGAGGGGAGATGGTCAGAGGGAGAAGCAGACTCCCCATTGAGCAGGGAGCCCGATGTGGGACTCGATCCCGGGACTCCAGGATCATGACCTGAGCCGAAGGCAGTTGCTTAACCAACTGAGCCACCCAGGCGCCCGAGATAACTACTTTTTAAAATATATTTTACTAAAATATTGATTTTAAAAAGAATAGTAAGTTTACCTTTCTCAATAAAAAGAAAAATGTTATGTGCGGATTCATAAACAACACATTTAAAAAATAAACTTTTGGTGGGTACAACAAAGGAATGATGCCACCTTAATTGGCGGGGGACAGTAAAACATCAAATTAAGAACATGGACTTCTAGGGCGATTACAGACATAAATCTAGCTCAAATGGCATTAATGTCAAATAATGCTGGCTTTCTAGTTCTGCAATGTATTTATTCCAAATATATGAATGAATTTGAATATTAGAACCATTACAATCCCATGTTAAGCTTCAAAATTTACATCTTTAAAGTGAGAGTAACAGTTAGCAAAATGCAAAAGGGTATCATATCAGAAAGGTCTCCAGAAAGGCTAGAAAACTAAAATAGTATTTTATTATTTAATATAATTCAAACTTGAAATTCAGGAAGACATTATACAGTCCAAAATTTGATGGTGATCTAAATGGCAAGAGTAATAAATACACAGTTTTCCTATTTTTTTCCAAGAGAAAATGCTATCTACATATGTAACTTCACATAAACATTGAAATATCAGGCAGTGAGTTGCAGGAGTATGGGTATGACACAATCTCCTAAATGTTGTAAAAAACAAGTTATCTCATTGCTCTGAAAAGGTATTTAACATGGCTAATGATCTACAGTGATGAAATTTAAGTCAGTTGTGATACCACAGTGATGTTTACGGATAAAAAAAAAATCAAGCTAGGAAAAGGTTTTTGTTTTTTGTTTTTCCCGATCCTTTTTTTAAATAAGTAAACAAATAACTAACCCAATTAAATAAGGGGATCTCTAAGTGGTACTTACTGGCACGACAATGTTGTAGTGGATGCAGAACCCCGGTTCAGAAGGAAAATATTCATCAGATACAAATCTTATCCTGATTTGATTTCCTTTAGAAATCTGCTTTCCTGGCACAGTACCAGAACCACACCAGCGCCCTAATATAGTTCCATCACTGGGTTCTTCAACTTCTACAAAGTCATACCTACAAGACACAAAGACAAAAAAGACATAAAGTCATATGATCTGCTATTTTAGCAATTCAAATTCCATGATCATGGATACAGTGAATCTATCTAGGGACCATAGCCAGGAGTCCATTCCAAATTCAACTGGGTAAATATAATGAAATATTCCAAAGAAGAGATACAACTGAAAATGCATTCTCCATTAAAGGGAAATGAGTCTTCTAAGCCTTCCATAAAACTGTTAATGAACTTCAAATTCACTGAACAGCCATCTCAACACTTAAATATTTTGTATGCAGCAACCATATCTGACATTCAATTTGTGAGTTATTCAATTTAATTTCCATTTGGACATGACAGTTTTACTCTAATCTTAATCGCTATTATCATTGCCCATTACTTTCTGACAGTAACGCTTTCGCCCTAGTCAGACTCCCTGGCTCCCTTTCTTCATCTGATGCAAGCTTTTCTAGAGCCACATCATCACATGCACATCCTTCAAATCTCACTTTGTACTAGTCTGCCTCTGTAAGACCTTTCTGGGTGTTCTCAGCTCATCATCATTTCTCTTTTTGATAAACATATTTTCAATACTCACTCTGTATGCAAGTGATCCGTTTTCTTTTCTTTTCTTTGAGAGAGAGAGGGAGAGTGAGCATGAGAGAGAGAGAGAGTGCATACCAGCTGGAGGAGAGGCAGAGGGAGAGGGAGAAGCAGACTCCCCACTGAGCAGGGAGCGGGATGTGGGACTTGATCCCAGGCCCATGAGATCATGACCTGAGCCGAAGGCAGACACTTAACCAACTGAGCGACTCAGGAGCCCCAACAAGTGATCCATTTTCTTAGTCTCTTAAATCCTTGAAGAAAGGAACTCATTTTTATATACTTTGAGTTTACATTGCACTACACACAGTATCTTAAACATAAGGAATAAATAATATTTTGCCAACAAATGTTAATTTTGGTTTTGGGAGGCTTAGATCAGTGGTACTCATCAAGAGCAGTATTGTCTCTTAAGAAAATGTTTCAGAAATGACCTGTAGAGGCATTTTTGGCTATATTGAGGCCAGGGGTGAGGAGGGCACTATGACATGTAATAGGCAAGGTCCAGTGATGTTCAACAATGGAAAGTCCCGGAAGTAAATATTTGTCCCATGTTCTCTGAGCCTTTCAAACAGTTCACTGGACATTCATATAGGCGACATTTCTGATATAGCACATCGAGTCTGGAAACTAACAATTATCTCACATATAAACATAAATATGTTTTGCGGTTTTAGTTAAAACCAAATTTTCCAGAAATTCAGCTATTAAATAAGTTGAAGAAAGTTTCCATGTTTTGGAACTTTACCCAAGAATTACTATTTTGGAAAAACATATCACGAACAGGAACACTGCTTATACTATCTGCATCACGATTAAAACAATTAAAAGTATACATATTCATTTGTATCTATAATGGTCAGATTCACAATGAGTCTACTTAAAAGATGCAAGCATCTGACCACTTTTATTTTCCTAATGTAACTGTGCATGTGTCCTTATGTATTTAAATCCATTATTTTCATAGAACTTACTTTGCTATTTCTGGTTTCTGTAGCACACATGCCATTGGATTTATATTTTAAACAACTGTGCACATAAACAGATGATCGCTTCCATAAACTCATTTCAGAATACTAAAGAGGATCCTGCAAAATTTTTCTTAAAAGGTACGTCTGACATGGTTGAAAATCACTGGTAGATTTTTTTCAAAAATCTAAATTCAGTAGATGCTAGACAACTAAAAATAATACATTTTGTGCAGTATTGAATTTACAGAAAAAAATTGGTGAGAATTATATACAAAGTATGTAACAGGCCAATTCTACCTACTCATCTTCATCCTGCAGAAGTATCCAGAACTCTCTTATGACATGTAACTTAACCTGTTTCAGCCTCATTTTCCCTGGCCTTACATTGACGGCAACACTACTTAGCTCACGGGGATGTTTCAAGACAGGATACCTGTGTAGTACCTAAAATATGGCACATGGCTGCCATTCAATAAAGCTGTCCTTCATCTCCATCCTGCATCCCTCGCTCCCACCTCCACATGAACTTTTAATATAACCTTTGGAGTTTGAAAACAATAAATAAGAAAACTCAAATACAAAGAAGAGAAAATCTGCTATACCATGTGATGGGTCTGGGGTCATGAATGACAAATGTGTAAGTCCACCAGTATCGCCATTTTAGGAGTTCGGTGTATGTGTGTGGTGGGACCGAAAAGGGTGCACTCAGGGGTCAGAGGAGTTGAGCAGAACAGACCCAAGTGGTTATTTCAGATATACTTGATACAAAAGTGGATAACTACCATTTTATATGAAAGGATAATTTTTACATCAAGATTGTTTGCATGTGAAACAAAGCTTTTATTCACAGAGTGTCTGTCTGTTCCTAAACCTATATAATGTAGGTTACCACCATTGCAAGTTTGAAGAGAGCCAGATTTCAGACCTGCTTAATCATTCTGTAAACATTTGTGAAGCGCTGACTTGGTGCAATGTGTTTTGCTAGGTTCTTAGGATACAAAGATGAAACGATAGCTTCTTTGGGCTCAGGGCCCATAAAACACTTCGGTGAGTGCTCTAATGAGAGTATGTAGGAAATACTGTGGAATACTGGCAGAGTAGCAGTAATTTTATACAGTGAGATTAGGGTCAGATTACAAAGGAACATTTGGGCTGTCAGTGAGTACTGATTGACCAGGGGTAAAAAGACGGGAAATGAAAACGCATTGTGGTGAGAAGTACAATACGTAAGATGCAACAGCAGAAAGAGGGGGCCAGGCATGGTGCACTGTGAATAGAGGGTGGGAAACCAAGAAGGAGATGAAGATCAAGCCGGAAAAATAGGTGTAGGTGGAAAGGCCTTGGTACTTCAGAGTCAGATGTTAGAATATTTTGTAGGCCAATGTTGCAAACAGGTCAGTGCAGTTTTAATAGGCTCCATGTTTCTTTTCAAAATTTAAGTCAACATTCTAAAAAGTGGAATTTCACAGAAAAGTCTGGATTTCTTTTTTTTTTTTTAATTAAATTTGAAGATCTGTTAATACTAAATATCATTAGCCTTGGTATGACTCCTCAGATCTCCGGAATTGATGTCAGCTCCAGGAGGGGTGGTATCTTCAATCTCCTGCCTTATCCCTGACACCTACGTGCCAGGAACACAGTAAGTGCAGTATCAGTATTTGGTGACTGAAGGAATGAACATGGACCTTCATTCCTTCACAGCAACTGAGGCAGGGACCAAGTGGAAAGAGCTTGAGATGGGACATGTTCTAAGTTTTTAAAGATCCCCATCGACTTTCTCTGCTGTTGCTGTTGTTGTTTCTGTTTTAATACCCAGATCATCATCTATTTACAGTACCTGCCCACAGAGGTCTCTGAGTTTGCCCCCCTTAGAGCAGATGAGGCACGGCCATGGAGGTGTCAGTGAGGGAGTAACACTGGCAGGGAACAGAATCATCGATACCTGAGGAATGCCCGGAAACAAGAACCTTACAAGTGTGGGAAGAAAGCAAAGAGCTGGAAACAAAAACATCCTGAAAAGGAGCAGTTAGGGGAATGTGAGGAAAGCCACTGTGAGTGATGCCACAGAACAGAGCGAAGAGGGAAGGAAACCTCACCAGAAGGAGAAGTGGGGGACAGCGCCCACAGTGCCGAATACCAGAGAAACCTCAAAGACAACGAAACCCAAAAGGCATTGCTCCGGTTTGGCAATTATTAAGTCATTTCAACAACTGGTTGGACAGAACACAAAGCATCAAAAATTTACCTCAGTCCATTTTCAAAATAACTATTCTCTTTCTAATAGAAGCATCTTAAAAGAAAAGAAGATCATATGCAAGAGAACTACAAAAATTCCCATTAAGTGTTTTTACTATTATCGACTTTTCTTTTTATTTGTTAACAAATAAACAGTGTTATGTATTTATCTAATTCGGAAGCTCTTTGGAAGTATTCAAAAGAAGTTTTTAACCACCCCAAAATATCTGGATTATAAGTGTTAAGAATTTCTTAAGGAACAAATAAGTCCTAACCTTGGCTTTATTTACATCCTGATACAAAGATCACTGTCCTGCAAATAAGAGTTAGAAGCACATTAGTACTTTTTTCATGAAGATTTTCTACTGAACTTAAGAAAAAGTCCACTAATCTTTATAACAATTTCTGGATTTGCAGTTAGACAGCCGGCAATTAATTTTTACATCCTCATACAAGCCTGACGCACACACTTACCACAGTGCTTTGCAAATCTACATAGTTTTGCCTTCCATGAAGGTAAAATGAAATGGACATCTACAAAAGTACTGTGTTCCTTGCCTATAAGCAGCATAATCTAACATATGCTACTAATTCTTTCACAGTAAACTTTTAAGATTTTTTTTCAGAAGTGGTGTCCTATAACAATATAATTCTAAATTTCACTCTATTATTCCACCATCAATTTTTTAATGGTCACACTCAACAACTGTTTAGATGTCTATGGAACTGAAAAGTATCAATAACACCATTATTTACTGAGGCTTAGTTCTCCCTCTTCCTCAAAACAGTAAATCCCCTTGCTAAAGGATATGGTTATAAAAATAGCATTTTTTAAACTTAAATTATATTCAAGATCATGTAAAATAGACCCAGTGAAGATCTACCTGTAAAGTATTCCCACGCCTCATCTAATCTTCAAAATAGAAAAACCGACAACAAAAACCACTGACACTTAATTCCATATTTCCTTTAAATTGTTTGAGAATATGTAGAATGTGGTTGGGAAAGGACGAATGCATTAAATCCAGTTGCCTTCCCTAATAATTTGAAGTTTTTCTTTTTTCTGATAAAATGTTTGCAGAAGGAATTCGTTGTGGAAGTTGGTTGGTTTATACACCATAGCACTGCTCAGAACATCAAGAAGAGAGAAAACAATGACGAAAGATGTCTGCAGGCCTCAGTCAAATGAAAGGGAGATGATAAAACCA